TTATTATTATTATTATTATTATTATTATCAATATGGTGCATTAGGACTCAAACCCAATGGCTTACCCATATAAAGGCATGCTAGGCTATAATGCGTTGGAACTTGAATCCAACGTCTTTTCATCAACATAGTGCATTGGGACTTGAACACATCGTCTTACCCTCAATCTTTGATATAATAGGCCAAAATTCACTAGGACTTGCACTCGGGCCTTTAAATTATTATTACTTCATAATTATAGGCATAAGTAAATTAACTTTCAAGAAGACTTATATAACTATTTCAATCTTGAAACAGTTCCTCTGCAACAAAAATGTTAGTTAGGATATATGCCAATTTCTTTTTAAATGATACAATCATTTTTATATTTTAATAAATTAATTAGGAGAAAGGTGCAGATAACCTATAACTACTTATATTTCAAAGACTATACGAACTTCACCAAAAAAATTCAATACAGAGAAATGAGCCTTATGTTTCCAGCAAAAATATTAAGGCTTAATGCATAATCGTGACTATTATAAATTATAACTATAATGAGTTTATATTTATTGTATATTCGAATGCCAAATTTGCAAGGTACTGTAAAATCACCTACATATTTGATAATTTTGCTTTCAATGAAATACATCATGTGATGGTAAAAATATTATTATTAAATTACCTTAATAATGATCTATCATAGTATGTAAAGGGTCAGAACATATATATACGCTGGAATATTATCTTTGTCCTATAAGAGATATAGCAAATACAGACATACCTTTCTAGTTCTTTATTTTACTCGATACAATTAAAAAAAATATTTTAAATAAACACTGCACATAAAGTTAATGCAAAGATATGAACGTATGAATGGGTTTAGATGGATGTAAAACTTATCTTTGTATTATCATCCAAGACATTTTTCATTGTACTTGATCTCATTGTCTGCTTATAATTTACATAGTCTTGACGTAAAAGATCATGAAATGAAATGAGCAATTCGTGCTGATAACGTGTTATAAAATAAAAGCAACTTAGTAAAACATGAACAAAACATGTTGTAATGAAATAAAAGCAATTTAGTAAAACATGAACATGAAATGGAGATAGAGAGAAGGAAGAGATTTTCTTCTTCAATTGTGTGTATTTTCCTATCTATTACAAGGCCTTTATATAGGCATGAAAAATAAAGAAAAATATGTCATTGAATATGTCATTAAGCATAGAAATATGTCATTAAGCATTTGAGAAGATCATGGAGGAAGAGTAGACATCCACCATAATTTGATTTTTCTTATAACACTCCCCCTTGGATGTCCATAGATAATGTACCTCGTTAAAACCTTATTAGAAAAAAACCCTATGGGAAAAAAATCTTAGTGAGGGAAAAAGAGTACACGTATTTAGAAATACGCCTTTTGGTTGCCTCGTTAAAAACCTTGCAAGGAAAACCTAGTGGGACAAACATATGGAGGCACTGCCATATCTTGGCGATCGACTAAGCAATCAATCGTGACTACTTCATCTAATCATGCTGAGATAATTGATATTCATGAAGCAAGTCGAGAATGTGTATGATTGAGGTCTATAATACACCTTATTCGAGACAAATGTGGTTTGAAGTGTGACAAACTACTCACAATTTTGTATGAAGACAATGCAGCATGCATATCCCAGTTGAAGGGAGGATTCATAAAAGGAGATAGAGAGAAGGAAGAGATTTTCTTCTTCAATTGTGTGTATTTTCCTATCTATTACAAGGCCTTTATATAGGCATGAAAAGTGAAGAAAAATATGTCATTAAGCATAGAAATATGTCATTAAGCACTTGAGAAGATCATGGAGGAAGAGTAGACATCCACCATAATTTGATTTTTCTTATAACATTAAGAACTTTATTCAAATTTTTATTTTCCTCCCTTTTATTTCCCCATTTCCCAATTCACACCTCATCTTAAACCCAATACAACTTGCATTTCCTTTCAAATCAAAATCTCATAACAAAAATCTTTTTCTCGGGGAATTTTTTTTTGTAACTTTTCTTAGCATTGCTTTTCATGAAAATTGAACTTTGAGCCAAAGAATGAGCCGTTTCAACAAACAATTTATGCATTGTCCTATTTACGATTGTAACTTCTTTTTTATGGAGAAATTGTTACGATAAAACGAATTTTGCTTTGATATCACCTACCCATGTTTATCCAATTGTTCTGGTCGAAAGATGAAATATTATATATTATGCATCATAACAAAGTATTTAGGATCAATTTGGACAAAAAGAGTTTGTAGCCAGGTAGCCAAATATGTATAAAAGGAGTAGTATTTCTCAAAACTTTTCTAGCAAAAGCTTCATAAGCAAACAGAGGAGAAAGTTGATTACCTATCTATTTATGTTCAATTGTTTATCCAATTTCAATTAATATGAGGAAACATAGAGCCAAATTAAAAGGCAAAAAATATAGTTGATATATATCCATCAGCCTCAACATAACTCTCTATTCGTAGCAGCGTAGCAAGGTCATTGAATGTCATGCATAAATAGGATTTATAAAGTTCAAATCAAAGAACGTAGTCATAGTACATTTATTACACTTTAAATCCATATTGACCTGTTTTTAAAAGTTATTGCACTTTCTTAAGAAAATATTCAATTGTTTAATTATTATAAAAATATTTGTCAAAAATGATCATCTCCTTTAAATGTTTATACTCTATGCTTAATAAATCCTCCTCTAGTTGAAGCAATAATTGTCTATTTGGCAAAAACTAAAAATAAATGAAATCTTATTTTTCTAAAATTACAAATATGTATTTAAAAATTAATTTAGTTTGTTAAAACGACTAATATTTGAAATTGGAAGGAATATTACATGTCAAATTCAATTGAGGCTGTAGTTCTAGTCAACATGGATCGAATTTTTTTTTTTTGGTGGGTAAAATAAAAAAATTATTTACCAAGTGAGACAATTACATAGCAGAAAAAAAACTTGCAAGACTTAGACATGCTGCTATTTATGCTAAGGATATATATACACGTCTAAAGCCTTCAATCTCCTGGCTAGTCTGTAACAGCTTAATTACCACATACACATGCTGTGTCTGAAATGGTAATTAGATTAGTAAATTATAAAGGCATTCACCTAATAATTTATAACTCCAACCACTTATCGAACACTAAATGGTAATCGAAGACAAGGTTATAAATAGTTTCTTTATGAGATTGTATATGTTATACTAATCGTTTTCTGAAATAGGCATATAGAATAGGCCGGGTCCATATCCAAATTACTCCCACGTGCACTCTTTGCTTGAGGAATCTTTTAGGTGTATTATCAAAATAAAAGTTTAAATATTGTATAAACGTAATTTATGCTTCATAAATATTGGAGTAAGTAATTTTTATTGAACAAGGTGAGCGCTGCCTGGTATAAATTTGGCTCTTTATTATGGTACAGTAGCGATAAAAAAATTGAAGACTTTATTTTTAGTAATTTAAATTCATGTAGTTTTAAAAGTAAAAGGACATACGTTTTCATGAAATGAAATGTATGCTTATTTATCTATAAATTAATGTCTTTCTTAAGAAGCGATTAAGTTAATTTAAAATATACAGTGATGTTATTCTAATCAAGAGATTTGTCCATAATTTCATAATTAAGAGTAGCTGCTTCTCTACCAGCAAAACACTAGAGATGTTGGGTATATAAGCAAGGGCGCACACAAAAATTTTTGTAAGCGGTGTCGATATTTAAAAAAGTTGTGTATGCACTCTTTGAAATGTATTCATAAAGCCTCATATAGTACATATTTATATAAGGCATCACACAACCACTCAAATTTAAATAAGAACATAAATCGATTCTTTCCCGATGGAGACGTGATTTCGCCTCATTAATTATTTCTTCCAAGTTAGATAAACTTTCAGATATTAAACTTGATTTTGAAAGCTTAACTGTTGCTTTACGGGGATATCTCCCCATTGAAACTAATGTTGAATTTCAAAGTAAAATATTAATTAGAATAACTCCTAAATAGTTCCACGAATCCAACTCACAAAGAATAACGTCTTCAAGAAACTCCACTAAAAGGAAAAGGAAAGAAAGTGAGGTAGCAAAACCAATGTGCATATTTCTGTTGAGATTAATCAAACCCCTTAACTCCCACTCAAATTTAGCTGCTTAACCATTGAACAAGGACACGCCTCTTGGCAAGCACTGTCATTTCGTCCTTTATAACGACTTATTTAGAATATTATAAATTTAATAGAATATATATTTAATGAAATTTTCCGATGAGATGACACCGCTTGCACAAAGGTGCATCCGCCCCTGTATATAAGGGATCAACCTAGACACTAGTGATGCATTTTAAAGTCGTGCATGTCTAGACTCAAAATGAATAATATCACCAGTGGGATGTACGTGCTATAATAAATTGTACCAAAGCTGCTCAACATGTAACCTTGGGCACTGATGGAGCAAACCTCAATGTTAAATTGATTGAATTTAGCAGAATCCCACATCTTTGAGATGATGGTGGACAAACTCTCATCAAGTACCTCGAGTCCCTAAGGGGAGGGGTGTATAATACACCCTAGACAATCCCATGATGGTAAAACCAAAGAGACACTAGGTATATAAGTAAGCAAACTTTGATCTTTTTAAAACCGGGGGAGTTAGGTAAAAAACCAAACAATAGTACTGTTGGGTTGGATTGTTATGGTATACAAGCAATATCTCTTTAAAATCGACTTTTTACACCTCAATTAAAACAGGCTCCTTTGATGTCTTTGTCTAACAGTTGCTGTACTAAATAAATCTACCAGCAATACTATAAAATCCTGTTTAAGTCCTTGGGTCTGAATTAACAAGAAACCTAACAAGTTGAATCTAAAGTTTCCGAGTTGAGTTTTGGGGTTTAATCTTCCTCGAAAATGAACTGGACTTTATGGAGTCTAAAACCTCCCTCATTCTTGAATAAGAAGAAGAAAAGAAAATTACAATCTTTGCGAGACATGGTTCCTATAATCCCAGAATCATGTGGTTGTTCATATTCATGCCCAGAGGAGGAAGCATTATTGGAGATGGCTCGTGAAGCGTTGGCATCAAGGAGGTTATCGTTCGACGAAGATGAGTCGTGTTCAGTTTTAGCCATGGTTGGTTTCCCGTTCAAGGATTGTTTAGTCTTAGCTGTGGAAAGTGAAAATCCCAAAATGGATTTCTTGCATTCAATGGAGCAAATGACAAAAGCTTATAATGGATTGAAGCCAGGTGGGGAAATGGATTGGGGTTTTTTAGAAGATTTGCTTACTTGGTTCTTGAGGATTAATAATATGAAGAATCAAGATGTCATAGTTGCTGCATTTGTTGACTTGTGCTTGCTTCTATCATCCTCTTCTTAAAGTTTGATCATCTTTTAACTAAATACTCAATTATTCTTGAATTTTCTGCTATAATTACGTTAACATTTTTCTGCTATATTACATACACCGTTTGCAACACGGAAGGCTTTTTTCGTGTTTCGTCATTAAATTGAATTTAATTTCTTCTTTATTTCCAAAGAGTATGTGAATTGCACTGACTTTTTGCCCTTCAAAATTTGAAATATTCAAAAGATGCCTGTATGCAGTAGCTTAATTGTTCCCTCATGTACAATACACTTTTCCGTTCTCCTTTTTTTTTATTGGCTCGTATTGATATATTGTTATTGTGGGGTCATTGATATAATAAAATTAGAATAAAACCAACTTGTCAGAGAAATTAATTATTGGGTACAATAAAACCAACTTGTTACTATAATGGTTTCTCGCATGGCCAACACTTGCAAATAACAAATTTACAAGTTGAAGAAACAAATCAATTTGATTGGCTAAGAGATGACAATTTTACCTATAAATAGAGATGTTGTTCTCTCGGTTTCAACGCACCCAAAAAAAAGAGTGAATCAATAGAGTTGGAGAGAGTAATTCACAAATTATAATATATGAGATGAATAGTGAGTGTAAGTAATATTGTAGTGAGGTATTTTAAATAAAAAATATTATTTCTTTCAAAATTGTAGTAGTCTTTCACTACTAGAAATTCGGTAAAAACCGACCAAAAAAACCGACCAACGTTGGTTGGTAATGGCAAAAAACCGACCAAAACGCGACCATTTACGTGTGGACGGTATTTTTGTGGTCGGAAAGGAATACCGACCAAAGTTGGTCGGAAATTACCGACCAACTTTGGTCAGTCAATTAAATTCAAAAAAAAAATATTGCAAAAAAAACCGACCAAAGTTGGTCGGTATTTTAATTATGTAAAAAAAAAATTCACCATCTGGGAATCGAACCGGGGTCTGTACTGTGGCATGATACTATTCTACCACTAGACCATTTGTACATTTTATTTTAAGACTATCTTTTATTTGATTTATACTCTTTAATTGTATTTTCGCACGAAAATAACCGACCAAAGTTGGTCGGTTTTATTAAAAAGTAAAATTACCGACCAAAGTTGGTTGGTTTTTTTAAATGACCCGCCGAATTAACCGATCAATTTTGGTCGGTTTTTTTAATATTAATTTTTATTTATATTAATTAAAAAACCGACCAAAGTTGGTCGGTTTCTTGAAACATAAATTTCGCGGGACTCAAAAATAGTTTTCCGCATTTTTGCGCCAAAGAAAACCGACCAAAGTTGGTCGGTTTCGTAAAAAAAAAAAAAATATTTGAAAAACCGACCAACTTTGGTCGGTTTTTTGGTCGGTTTTTTTACCGACCAAAGTTGGTCGGTCGACTTTGGTCGGTTTTTGCCGAATTTCTAGTAGTGTTTAGACACTACTAAGTTGTAGTATTATAATGGTAATATTGCTCTGCTCGGGTATTGTATTTACCTCGTTAAAAGAGTTGGTGTCGTTGTTACTCTCTTGTGTTATTATTATTTGCCGTGGATATTATTTTTGGGTGGGATTATTATTTTTTCTCAACAATGTGGTATTAGAGCTATGTCGAATAATGGTTCGATGTTTTTTCAGTATCCCCGTCTCACAAAAGATATCTATGAGAAATGGTGTCTACGTATGAAAGCCATTCTTGGCTCTCAAGATGTGTGGAAAATCGTAGACAGGGTATGCAAAACCTGATAATGAGGAAGTTCTGCCTCAAAATGAAAAAAGATATCTTGGCAAAGACAAAAAAGAAGGATCAACAAGCCCTCACGCTCATCCACCAATGTTTGGATGATACCGTGTTTGAGAAGGTGGCTGATGCTACTACCTCAAAGGAAGCTTGGGAGATTTTACAAAATTCTCTCCATGGAGTTGACAAGGTGAGGAAGGTAAACCTTCAAACTCTAAGGGCTGATTTTGAAGTTTTAAAAATAAAAGAATCCGAATACATTTCGGATTATTGTACAAAAGTGAAGGTTGTTGTAAACCAATTGAGAAGATACATGGAGGACATAGAAGATGTCCGTGTAGTAGAAAAGATCATTCGTACATTAACACCTAAATTCGATTTTATGGTGTGTGTAATTAAAGAGTCTAAAGATTTAGACTCTATGATGGTGGAACAATTAGAGGATTCTTTACAGGCCCACGAAGAAAAGATAAAAAAGAGACAAGAAGTGCCATTGGGGCAACTTCTTAAAACTCATGCATCCTTTAAGGATTATGGAGGTGAAAAGAGCTATCGAGGGAATAGACGAGGACGGGGGCGTGACAGTCATGGAAGAGGAAGAAGTAATGGTAACAACTTCAAAAATGAAGTTAAAATCTACCAAACATTCAGAGATTGTGGTTGTGGACAAAGAGGAGGAAGAGAACGTGGCTACTACCAAAACAATAATGGACAAAGGTATGACAAATCAAAAATTGTGTGTTATATGTCATAAAATTTGCCATTACTCTTGAAAATGTCGTAGCAATGTTGAAGAGAAAGCTAACCTTGTTGACGACAAGAAAGAAGAAGATAAGTCAACATTGTTGTTGGCACTCAAAGAAGAAGATAGGGATGTTATATCTCGTGGTATTTGGACAATGGAGCAAGCAATCATATATGTGGATGCAAAGAGAAGTTTGTGGAGATCAATAAAACGGTGAGAGGTAATGTGTCCTTTGGAGATACCTCAAAGATTCAAATCGAAGGGATAGGTACGGTTATGATCTCCTATAAAAATGGTGACCATAAGTTAATTCAAGATGTTTATTATGTTCCAAAATTAAAAAGTAATATTTTGAGTTTGGGCCAACTTCTTGAAAAGGAATATGACATCCACATGAAAAATATGCTTCTTTGGCTTAGAAATTCAAGTGGAATTGTAATTGATAAAGTGCATATGGCAAAGAATAGACTATTTTCTCTGAATCTTAAGACAATTGATGCAAAGTGTTTGAAGGCTAATGTGCAAGATGAATTATGGTGTTGGCACATGCGATTTGGGCACTTGAATTTTGAAGCGCTCAAAACAATGGGAGAAAAGAACATGGTACATGGGATACCATCAATAAACTATCCCAATCAATTGTGTGAAGCTTGTCTTCTTGAAAAACATGCAAGGAGGAGTTTTCCAAAGGAGGCCATGTCAAGATCAACCAAACCGCTCCAGCTTGTTCACACTGATGTGTGTGGGCCAATCAATCCACCTTCCTTTGGTAAAAATAAATACTTTTTGCTCTTCACTGATGACTTTAGTAGAAAGACTTGGGTTTATTTCTTGAACCAAAAATTTGAAGCTTTTGCTAATTTTAAGATTTTCAAAGTACTTGTAGAGAAAGAAAATGGCTATGAAATTAAAGCTTTAAGGTCTGATAGAGGAGGAAAATTCACTTCAAAAGAATTTAATGACTTGTGTCTATCTCATGAAATTCGTCACCCTCTAACGATACCTTATTCACCCCAACAAAATGGAGTTGCAGAGAGAAAGAATCGAATGATTCTTAATATGGCTAGATGTATGTTGAAAGCTAAAAGTATACCCAAGGAATTTTGGCTCGAAGCTGTTTCTTGTGCAGTTTATTTGAATAACGGGTCTCCAACAAGAAATGTTAGAGATCAAACCCCTCAAGAAGCATGGAGTAGAAGAAAGCCAGGTGTTAAACACTTGAGAATATTTGGGAGCATAGCCTATGCTCATGTGCCACACCAAGGGAGAGCGAAACTTGATGATCGAAGTGTCAAGCATGTGTTTGCTGGCTATGATACGAGTTCAAAAGGCTACAAGTTATACAACCCAAGTAGCAGCAAGGTGGTGGTGAGTCGTGATGTTGAATTTGATGAAAAATTGGCATGGAATTGGAAAGAACAGGAAGAAACTGCATATGATTTTCTTCCATACTTTGGTGATGAAGAAGAACTAGAGATAGTGGAACTTGTGCAAGATGCAACTCTACCTCCTTTTCCAACCAATGTCGCATTTCCTTCTTCTCAACAAAGTTCAAATGAATAATCGAAACGGACGAGGAGTATTTAAGAAATCTATGATGGCACAAAAGAAGTTACTAATTTTGATTTTTTATATTGTCTCTTTGCTGATAGTGAACCAATGAACTTTGATGAAACTATTACAGTCAAAAGGTGGAGACAAGCCATGGAAGAGGAGATCGAGTCAATAGAGAAGAACAACACTTGGGAGTTAACAACTCTTCCCAAGGGTTGATAAGTGGGGATTTTGACGAATTATTAGCGCATTTTTGCTTTCGTTTTAGTCCAAAAGCGCTTAATTGTATTCCCGAAAACTAATAAAATATGCTTAATTGCAGGAATATTAGAAGATGAGCTCCAAATATGAAATCCACTTCAAGAAGGAGTAATTTGAACTTAAGGACAAAAACAACACAAAAGCTAAAAGTGTGGTCCGCAAAATACCATCTGCGGCCGCAGGTCATGAAGCAATTCCAAGAGAGAAGGTTGCAAGATGCGAACCGCATATGAAATTGTGCAGCCGCAGAAACTGGGTAAAAGCCAAAGTTCATAGAACCTGCATCTCAAGTTCAACAAGAGTGCGGACCACACAGATATTGTGCTGCCACAGAAGAGCATGATGTGGCCGCAACCACATTTGTGCGGACCGCAGAAGAGCATGGTGCGGCCGCAGACATATTTGTGTTGTCCGCAGAAAGAGAGAAGTGTGGCCGCAGGTTTCCAATCCTATCAGGCTTAAGCAAAGTGCGGACCACACATGGAATTGTACGGTCACAAAACGTCCGAAAGGGCATTTTTGTCCGAAAATTCTAGCACTGTATAAATAGAAGAGTTTCACTTTTTTTAGGTTAAGTTTTGACATCATATGCTACAGTAGACAGTTTCTTTTACTCTTTTTAGTAGTTTTTGCTAATTTGAGCTTTTTGAATATTGATTTTATCCTTTTAATTATCAATATGATTTTAATTATCACTTCTTCTTTTTCTTCCAATTTAAGC